GGAGGCGGCTGCTGCGGCGGCGGCGGCGGCGGCGGCGGCGGCGGCAGCGGCGGCGAACAAAGAGGCGGCGGGCGCGGGCGGCCGAGCGGAGCCGAGCGCTGCCGAGCCGGGCCGAGCCTGGCCGGGCCGGGCCCAGGAGTGCGCGGGCGATGCGGGCGGCCAGGCGGGGGTTGGCGGACCCCTGAACCCCTCGCCCCCTAGCCAGCGAGGGAGCCCCGCGGCGGCACGCGCCGGAGACGGCCAGCCCGCCATGGCCGGGGTCAGCTACGCGGCGCCCTGGTGGGTGAACCTCCTGCACCGGCTCCCCCACTTCGACCTGCGCTGGGAGACCACCAGCAGCCAGTTCCGGCCCGAGGACACCGACTACCAGCAGGTGACGCGGCCCCCCCCGGGTCGGGGGTCAGGGCCCTGGGTCACGGCCCCTCCTTTCGAAGGTCTGAAGACTCCCGAAACCCCCCTCCCTAATCGAGGGTCTCGGGGGTCCCCCTCCCCGAGGGTCGCCGTCGCCCCCATCCTCCTGGAGGGTCATGGCCTCTGCCTTCTTGTGAGTCACAGCCCCCTTTCTTCTCCAGGGTCTCCTCCTGCGTCCTGGGGCTCCCCTCCATGAGCGTCTAAAGACCCCCATCCTGCATCGAGGGTCCACGGCCCTCCTGCCGATTCTAGCTTCCTCCTCTGGTGTCACTTAGGCCCTCCTTTCTGGGGTCATGTGCAGCCTCCTCACTTCCCTCCATGGAGCCCCCTCTGCCAGCTGTCAGCTCCAGCCCAGGCCCCTGCCCAGCACCTGGGGCAGCCCTGAGCTGGGGCCCTGCACAGCCCCCAGCCCAGAGGAGCCCCGGGCTCTGAGACCAAGCTGATACCTGAGAGCACAGGGTGCAGCTGGGAGGGCATTCCTTGCCCCCTCCTCCCTCCCCCCAAGCTAGGGAATCCCATGCCCTGCCAAGATTTTGGTGGGTGAGTGAGCTGGGCGGATGCCAGCCCTCTCTGGCCCGCAGTGACCCCCTGCTGGGTGGCCAGGTGCAGTGACACCTGGCCTGCTGGGAGCCCCTGAGGAAGGGAGGCCCGGCCGCAGGAATCTGAGGTGGGCCTCCGTCAGGGAGGCTGGAAAGGGGCTGAGCCTGGGCAGAGTGGGGAGCCGTGGAAGCCTTTGCAGCCTTCTCCCCAACGGGCCAGGCTCTTCCAGTAGAACCCGAGGCCTGGGGTCATGCCAAGCCCAAGCGCCACCCCCCTCACTGAGCCACTGTCATTTGAGTGCAGGGCCGGGGGACCAGGCTGTGGGCATTTCCTTCCTGCCTGGGGATCCGGATTCCAGAAGCCCCATGACTGGGATGCCCGGTCACCCGGAACACCCCTGGGGTTCTTTCTCTCCAGTGTTCATTGCAGAGCCCCGGGCGGAAAGGAACGGCCTTGCTTGTCAAGATGGCCTGGGAATCCAGGATTCCATGGACATGATCACACCTCGCCTATGTAGAACTCTGTCTTCCCTGGTCGCCCTTTAATCTAGAGGATGAGAACCGGAAGCAGAGAGCGAGGGCACCATGGGCACCCACTGCTCCCAGCCTCAGTGCTCACCTGGGGCCTGCTCCCCCAGCCCTGCTGATCTGTTTCCAAGCAGGCTAGAAGGGGGCCAGGGATTGCCCAGGCATGCCCAGAGACAGCAAGATTTTTATAAAACTCGACGCCCACGTTCTAGAAGCCCAGCCTTGGGGTGCTGACCAGTGTGGGAACAGCACCCTTCTGTGCTCCCCGGGGCCTTCCTTATGTCTTGGCTCTGTCACGTCCGTCCCCTGGCACCCGCAGGCCAGGGGCCATGCTTTACTTTAGGAAGTTCTCTGCCAGTTATCAGTTGGGAAACTCTGGGGCTGCCCCCGGGGCCACCTGGGGTGTCTGGGATCCGCACAGAGCTGGCCTGCGGGCTGCACCTGCCATGCTGCCAACCTCGGTTGGACCGGCTGCTTGCCCCCCCTGCCCTCTGGGGCTCCTGGGATACGTTGTGGGGAGTGAGTGAGGGGCCGATGCCTACAGCCTGTGGAGGCCTCCAGAATGGTGGCTGCCCCCCCCCCCCCCGCCCCCCACCCCCTGCCACTCAGCCTGACTCCCTGCAGGGCCCTGTGCCCCTGAGAGGTCCCTGGTGTCTGCCCCCAGCTTCTGTGAGTACTGTTCCCTCCTCCGCTGTGGGAGGGCTCTGACTCACTCTCCTGCCTCCTCTCTGCGGAGCAGAATTAGCCACTGAATAATTCACGGCGTGGAAACCAGCCTGTCTCCATCCCCCGCCGCCTCCGCTCCTGGCTGGGGGCTGTAGAATGAGCCAGGCCTGGACATACACGCTGCCCCTGCCCTCCTGTTCTGGTGCTTTTAGGCGAGCTCTTGAGCTCTCTGATCCTTCATTGTCACATCCCGAAATCTGGGCTGGCGCACTTTCGTGGGGTCGCAGTGGGGGGTGCAAGGGCCCTGTGCCCCTGCTCCATTTTTGGTTGCAATAGACAGAGCTCCTTTCCTGCATGGCCGGGCAGTGGGTCAGTGCGAGCCATGGCCTGCAGCCCCTTCCTGCCTCCCCTGGTGGAGTATTCCTCGCTGCGGATGGGGGGCAGCTGTTCCCATCCCATTTCCTGCTGGTGGGTGGTAGAGCCCTCACGCTCCTGACCCAGGCACCCCCTCTTGGCCTGGGAGCCTGTTATGCCGGCCCCCACCTGGGCTACAGGATCTGGCAGTCCTGCACCCCCCATGTGGGCTGGGTCCAACTGGGGAGGAGGGCTTCTGCCTCCTGGACTACCCAGGGGACAAGTGGGGCTCCAGTCCAGGGAAGAGGGGATGTGTGTGGCATGAGGAGACCAGCCTTTGCTATTTCCTGCCCCCACCACCCACTGCTGGGAGCCCTGGTAAAATCCACTGGAAAACCCCATGAGCTAGGCCGTTTTGGGACACCGTGTGGGGCTGTCTCTCACCAGCCCTTTCTCACACAAGCCTGGGAGATGAGGATGATTGTCTCCATTTTACAGATTAGCAAACCGAGGCTCAGAGAGGGGATTGGCTCAGAATCACACAATGAGTAGATGGTAGGAGCCAGAGTCAGTCGTGGGAGGGTGTGGGCCTCCGGGGTTCCCCTCTGCCGGCCCCCTGCAGGGGCTAGGAGCCAACGCAGGGCGATTCTGAGGGCTCCCAGAGTCCTGACTGGTCCTCCACTGGGGACTTTGGAGCCTCTATAGGAGCAAGGATGGCATTTCTCTTGGGGCTGAGGGTCTCAGGTTCCCATGTTCCCAAGGCTTCCATCCTGGAGAGGAGGTGCCCCATGGCCTTTGCATCCACCTCTTGGGGGCCCGTGATGTTTGCTGAATGGACAGATTACAGGGAGGGTGCCACTGTGGTTTGTGTGGGGGCTGATGGGATCTGTGGGTAGGCAGATACTGGAAGGAGGCAGAGAAGCTTCTGGAGTTTGCTCTGTGCTACCCCACCCCCCATCTGCCTGGCAGGAGGGGCTGCTGATCTGGTTCCCCTGGGGCTGGGCCCAGAGCTTCCCGTACCAGGGGTGGCTCAGTGGGTGGGGACTCTCATTTTTGGGGGGGCAGAGAGGAGGATTGCAGGCCCAGAGGAAGGAGGAGACTCCCTAGTGGCCATCACGGCTGAGCGGAGCCGGCTGGGCCCCATGTGTGGGGCCTGATGTGGCCTGAGGCCAGCGTGCTCTGTGGTGATGGTAGGGCCTGTCCTGGCTTTGGGCAGGGGTCCCGGAGCCTTCTCTTCAGGCTGGAGAGTGGGGGCCTGGGCACCAGCTCTGTTGCTTCCTATTTGTGTGACCTTGGGTACGACCAGCCATCGCTCTGGGCTTCCCTTAGGGTGTCTGCCCCATCAGTCCCCACCAGCCCCCCCAAGCCTCTCCACACCCGTGTCCTGAGACAGAGGTCAACTTCACTCCCTTTGCCCTTAGCCTCTCTTATTCTTGCTTGTTCTCTCTGCCAATTCGGGGTTGGTGGGGGTGGGCTGGAAGCTATGAGGTGCTGGAGGCATCAGGACAGGGCTCTTAGGAGCTCAGTGGTCAGGGAAGGCTTCTTGGAGGAGGTGCTACCAGGCCTGCTGTGGAGGGTGTCAGCTAGGCTGTGAACGTCCTGAGACCCTAAAGATAAGACTGAAGTAGCCACGCAAAGACCTTGGGGAAGACAGTTCCTGGCATCAGGAAGAGCACATGCAAAGGCCCTGAGGCAGAGAGAAGCCTGAGCCTCAGCCCCAAATAAGGGAGTCTGAATGTCCTGCCTTGGGAGGTAGTGAGCACTCTGTGCCTGGAGGTGTGTGAACCCAGATCTGGTGTCTGCTTAGAAGGCATTTTGAGCTCTGGGTCCTATGACCATTGGGGGTCTCCTAGCTATGACCACAGACTCCAGCAAGTTCAGTCGCGTCCCTGACTGCAGGCTGGTGGTGGCATAGCAGCCGTGCCCTGTGGGTGGGCCAGCCCTGTTCTCACCCTCCCCACTGATCCAGAGGTTCAGAAAAGTGTGTGTTGCCTGTCTTCTCATTTACAAAACTAATAAACACTCATGGAACATTTGGAAAATAGGAAAAAGCATGAAAAAAACCCAAAAAGCCCCTCTGGCTGGATTCTGTCCATGCAGAATCCTGTGGGGTGGGTGTCACTTAAAACTACATTCACACCGTGCGCCCTTATTGTCACTGCCTTTTGGACCCTATTGTTGGCCCTTGGTTCTTGATGCTTGGTCAGCGTCCCATGGTAACAGTCAGGATGCTGAGGCTGCAAGTGACAGAAACACACCGAATGGGACAGAGCTTACTGAGGAGTGGGCGGAAGCTTCTAGAGTACCCTGTGCATGGACGGAGGTGAGGAGCTGGACGTTGGGGATGCAGGGGTGGGGGGACAGGGTAGCCCCTGTGGAACAGATTGACTGTTTCCTTTTTGGCGGGGGAGGGGGTTGGGGGCGCGGCCTTTGGCTACCTCCGTGACCAGGTCTACACCTTGGTGGCAGTGTGGGTGGGGGAGGTCATGGGAAACTTGGCATTGCTGTGGAGCCAGCATCATCGGGCCCCATCCTTGTGCCTGGTTTTCAAGGGTCTGGGGAGGTGGTGAGGAGCCGTGTCCCCAGTGCCGTAGTGCTCTGCGCAGGGGACGTGCAGGAAGGGACGTGAGCTGTTTGGACCCGGCCAGGGGCCCTTGGGCAGGCTTTGGGCAGGCTGCGCTGTGGCTCTTAGCCCAGGCCACAGGTGCGCCGCCAGAGGGGCCCCTGCTCTTCTTTTTCCCAGCATTTCTCTGGGCGGCCACACAGTGGCCCTCGGGGTGGGCGTCATGGCCGCTCTAGGAGCAGAGTCTAGGCCACTGGCCAGCCGGCATCGGTGGCTGCTGGTCCAGCCTGCCACCCCCCCTTTCCGTGGACA